ACGGGGGTGCGCTTTTCCATTTATTTTTGGGGGTGGCTTTAATTTTTATTTTTTTATTTTTTTTATTTTTTTTCTTTTTTTTTTTTTTTTTTTTTTTTTTTTTTTTTTTTTACTATTCGTTGAATTTTGGTTCTTCTTCCTCGTCTTATTCAATTAGATAAATGGTCTATATTGGCATTTTTGTATCATGACTTGAATAATCAGGTACATACTTACACTGACTGCAGGTGATGCAAACGATGGTTGCGGAAATGGTTAAGATGCCGGAGCACGAGCCAAAAGCTTACGCTACTCAGCCCTTCGTCTGGACCCTAGGCGGTATTATAGGTTCCGCCATGGGAGGTTTTCTAGCCCAACCGGCGATATTCTATCCTTCGCTATTTCCCGCCGATGGCATCTTCGGAAGGTATCCTTATCTATTGCCAAACCTCGTGTCGGTCATCGTCATCGTGTTGGCTATTATACAGGGAATACTTTTCCTCGAGGAAACTAACCCGCGACACGGAAAGGCTACTCCTGGGTCCGTCTTCGAAGAGGACGACGATATCGTCGATGAGCGTACTCCGCTCCACCACCGTCCCAAGGATCGAAGATCATCTGCTCGGAGTCACTCGTGCGCCGCAAGCGATAGACCGGTATTTATCGAGGAAAGTCTTCCAGTGCCAGTCGAGCAGAACTTCGACCTGAGGAGATCGTCTTTTGGGACCGTGCGTTCGATCAAACTCCTTCCTAGCACCCCGAAGCAGAGCGAGGTGTTTAATGGCCGGCCCTTCAATTTTACCATCATAATGGTAACCGTTGCGCTCGTCCTGGTTTCATACCATCAGATGGCATTCAACACCCTTCTGCCTACGCACCTCTTAGATAGGCCAGCGGCAGCTCCAGGTCAACTTGATTTGATTGGTGGCTTGGGGTACACTGTCCACGACGTAGGAATCTACCTGTCGGTTAATGGGATCCTCGGTCTGTTCATTCAGGGGTTCATATTCCCGATTTTCGTAGACAAGATCGGAGTATGGAAGTCGTTTCTCATCAACATCGTTTTCTATCCTTTAGCATACGTGGTCATGCCTTTCTTATCTGCTTTACCTCCCTCGCTTGTATCCCCTGGAATTTATTTCTCCATGATCCTACAGAGCCTCTTCGGTATCATTGTTATTCCCTGCGCTCTCATTTTGTTGAAAGATGCCACGCCGTCTCCACTCGTGCTTGGGAAGGTCAACGGATTAGCTATGTCTGCTTGTTGTTTAGCTCGAACTATATCCCCGCCACTAGTAGGTATCATCTACAGTGCTGGTGGTTCCGCGGCTGCTTGGTTTAGCTGCTCTGGTGTTGCAGTAATTGGGATTGTACAGCTCCTCTGGGTACCAAGGAAGCACGTACGTAATATTGTGGTTAAGAACAGTACGATGGTGAGTAAAAGCCGACCGGATTTGCGAAATGAGGAAGCTGGAATATGTCCTGCCATATCGGAGTAATGCATTTTGAACATTATCATTTCCGCGAAGGAGTCGGATGCGCATACGATCTCCTTCTTTTTTACTTGCATAGCAACTAGATTATTAGGGTATTAGGTATAGATTGGCATATTTTCTAATATCTGTCATAATAAGGTCAAGTTAGGATTGAAAGGGGGTTAGGACTGCTACACACGAGGTAATGATATTATGATCTCATGCGTCGATAGATTGGATATTCGACGACCGCATTTATCGAATTTGGAGCAACAAGGTATATGATCTAGCGATAATTGCAGATATCAATTCAAGCATTTTCTCTTCTATGATGCTAAGGGCTGTTCTCAGTTGATCAGAACGAGGCATTGTTATTTTATAGCGACATGAAAAAAGATTTTTTTTATTCAATTGCAATACAGTAATTCGAGTCATGATTCGACATTAACTTGGCCATTAAATGAAAGGGGGAGAAAAAAGACCAAGGTGAAGATTAAAGAAAAAAAAACCGCGAGAAAGGAATTGCTGTACGTCAATGCCATCAAGGTATGTTAAGACTATAAAAAATGAATAAAAATATAAGGTACAAGAGGAATCTAACCTCTGAAGATGGACTCGCGGGGAATCGAACCCCGGACCACTCCCATGCTAAGGGAGTATTATACCACTAAACCACAAGCCCGTGTGATGATGGAACCGTGTGAGAGATGAATCTCAGCTGTTGAAATTTTGCTTCGTTGTATTTAATTATAGGACTAAAATTTGCAAGATGGGGCGACGATGGGGCTACGAATGGGGGCAGCCCTAATCAAACGCGATTGTAGACAAACCCACTTGCGTACGGGTTTGCGTTCTAGCCTTTTAGGTCAGGCGAATGCGATAAATAGCGTTTGGCGAATTATAAGTGATTTGTATGACGGTAGAGAAATTGTTCATTGTCGGGTTCAAACCCCTCTGGTATATATTGATCATAATCCTTGGTGCAAGCCGATGAGCTCTAAAGAGTGCTCAACCAAGAAAATGCCAGCTTCAGATATAGGGGACTTCAGGCGTCCGTATAACCCGGACGTGCAGGATCTCAGACAATGCTGCTTGTCATCCGCATTGAGGTCTGTGTCGCAGTTGGTAAAGTACCTAACCTAATATATATGATAAAAAAGAGTAAAATCTATAATTCGCTCCGTATGCCGCCCATCAGAAGCGCATCGACCTTCGACCCTTTCTTAAGAGGCTCATTGCCGCTTGGCATGCACAATAAGCAATTGGCGCCTCTAAGACTGCCAACCTTAGAACTTCGTTGGCCGCCCGTGCTGGCAGCAAGCAGATTTCCGTCTTTACCCACGGAGACGATTGCGCGATGGTACTCGGGCCGTGCCTTGTCCAAAACGAAGTCGTGTACGAGTGTTACGGGGACCCTCGTTAAGCCGGCCGGTGAGATACCCGACATCTGGTGGAGAGAAGGTAGGACGAAGAGATGGAATGTGACGATGGCAGAGGCCGGGTTGCCAGGTAGAGAAAATATGACTTTCGTGACTCGCTCGCCAGCGTTGTCCTTTACGGGGACGGTAGCAAACGTCGTTGGCTTACCCGGTTTCATTGCGACGCGGCCAAAATGGATTGTCCCGCCTAGTGACCTCTCGATTGTTGGCTTCAACAAGTCGAGCTCGCCCATTGAGACTCCCCCTGTAGTAATGATGAAATCAACGCGCCGTAATGCGTCTCTTAGTGTCTCTTCTAGGGTACCGGGTTTATCTGCTGTAATCCCTAGGTCAACAACCTCGTACCCACACTCCTTCGCCGCAGTCATCAAAGTGATCCGGTTGGTATCGCGTACTTCTCCCAGCCGCAAATCGCCAGGCCGATCGTGCTGGACGATTTCGTCCCCAGTGGATAATACCCCTATGACCGGCTTACGGTAAGCCTTCACTTCGGCAACCCCGACAGCAGCAAGGAGGCCTATTTCTCCACCAACTGCCGAGATCTGCTCGCCCTTGCTGAGGATAACTGTCCCTGTCTTGATATCGCTGCCAACCTCTCGAATATTCTCCCCTTCTTGTACGTTATCGGCGAGGATCTCTACCTCCTTCTCTTCCTTACCATCGTCAGTCATGGTCTTCAGAATTGTATCCTCTACCATAATAACGGAAGTGGCCCCTGGAGGAAGTGGTGCCCCGGTAGTGATCCTGGCAATTTCTCCTTCCTTCAATGGCTCAACCTCTCCCGGCGAGGCATGAGATACGGAGACGACGGGGAAGACGCCTTTCAAGTTTCCATCGCTAGGCACAACCACTGCATAACCGTCGACGATACTCGCTCTGAAAGCAGGGACATTTTCCCTCGCTTGCACATCTTCGGCTAATACATGGCCAGGTAACGATCTGTCGACCTTCAACGTGACGACTTCTGGCAATGGTGTGTGGTCTTTAATCTTGCTGAGGGCATTGTCAACCGAGAGCATCGGATAGGGGGATTCTCTGTTCCTACGGCTAGGGCCAAGGCTGGGATCGTTTGAAAGTGGATTCGTGCTAGGCGCCGTATGCCTAACTAAATGACCATGACCGTGGCTATGCTCGTGTCCATGACTATGGCTAGGCGGATGGTTATTCCCGTGGTCATGACGATGATGATCGTGGGAATGTGAATGGCCTCCACTGGATTTTATGCCGGCTTCTGCCTCAAGCTTCTTGATCCCACCTACATGTAATGATCTAGAATCCATTCCCGCAGCCTGGAGACATGCGTGCGGTAGTGTCTTTAAAACTGCCTGTAAATTTTCTCGGGCTCCTTTTGGAGATCCCGGAAGGGTTATGATGATTGATCGGTTCCTGACACCTGCAACCGGACGAGACATCATGGCGACTTATATGGTCAGTTGGTGATTTTATGATATGTTCCAGGGCTTGTATACTAACACGGAGTGACGTTTAAAGAAGCCGCCAACATGCCATGAACAAGTCCAGGCGCGGGTTTATGAATCAGGGCCGAAACAGCCTGAATTCAGTTAGCCAAACTGCTACATTTCTTGAATATAGAATACACTGGACTTATATCATTTACCTCTGGTGTATTGTCTGCCACCGCAAAGCCCGTTCCGCCAGTAGTAAGTATGAGATTAAAAGTTTCGGCGGCCACATCTGTCCATAGCATAAGTTGTTGTTGAATCTGAGTGGCAACATCAGGAACAATCTTAGTATCAACGAGCTCCCAACGCCCATCCCCTTCCTCTTCAAGGACGCTGCTTAGGACTGCCTGAGAAGCATCTGTTGATGGGTCCCTAGCCGCTGTCGTAGAGACGATGAGTAATGCGACCCTTAAGGTAGAATTAGACATAGTTTCAGTGGACTGATTCAATAATTGTAAAATTCGATTACGATTTGAATCCAACTATAACTTAAGGAAATCTTTGAGTTTATTTCAATGGCTGCTGAATTGAATTATATAAAATGAAAATTCTTGGTGTAAGTGAATCATGGACCTGTATTGTGTATGAGAGAGAAGCATCATTGGTACAGTGCAAATGCGGGGCCAGAATATGTCAGCTTTCAGTCAGTTAAACAGCTCATCTTCCATCGAGAGAAGCGGGAGCTTGGAATCATTTTGGAAGTTTATGAAATATAGTGCAATTATAAATCTCTATGAACTGCTTCATAAATAAAATCTTAACATATACATACTTGGTAACTACCTCATATGAGTCTGTGACTTCCACAGGTAATATAACAGTCGTTATTTCATGAATTATGTCATACAGTTTCCACTGTAAATTGTTCCCGTTGCACTGTACCATAGCATTAAAGCTTAAAGTGTACCTAAGACTGGTTGGCTTGAAAATCCCCACATAACTCCGATAAGATAAAGCTTCTCCTAACAACGGAAATTTTACCTATTTCGTAGCTTCTCGACCTGAATCTTCACTTATCTTTTCCGCGCACGCGATTATCACGTGTTAGAGCGTATCCCGACTGTACTTGTGCTCCTATAACACCAGGCAATTCTGAGAGCCCTGAAAGTGGATGGCTTCTTAAGAAACAATGGTCCGAATCAAGGAGCGTTACCTCCTAGTCAAGATCCTCTACCCGAATGAACTTGGCGGTCGCTCTGATATCCCTGATGTTGTAGTTATCAACCAGCCTACGACCGACCAGCTCAACCCCGCAGGTCTCCTTAGAGGCATACGTGCTGAGGTTGCTAGTTTGTTTGGAGACTACGGCTCGGGGCTTATCGAAGGCGGAAACTTGGGAGGTGAGTCAGCAAGTGTGAACTCGTCGCGACTTATACACAGCTCACGTTGGCGTTACTAGTTAAATACTTCTCTCACGCCACCTCTACCTTTATTTTGCGCATTTCGCGATCATCATATCGCCTCGTCTGGGCCGCTCTCACCTTCATGAGCAGTGTTCCGGTTAAGAATGGGAAACCATGCGTCTTCCGTGTTGTCCACGTAAGCGGTACTATGCGTAAAGCCGAGGAAGAAGCTATCCGTCGCGCTCGAAATCTCATTTTTGCGGCGGAGAACGGCCACAAAGAAAAGGCTAGAGATTCCTTTAGTAATATGTTCGGAGAATTTGAACTACCGCAACGTGAAATTGCCATGACAGACTTACTAGACGTTGGAGATGATGGTAGCGACGTAGAGATGGGGGAACTAAGTGACGGTTGAGAGGACATCACTGCTTTTTGCGAACTACCTTAATCCCGCTATCGCCTGTTGGTGGCGGCATTCCGTCGAATTCGTCATCGTCATCATCTGGGATCAGGTCTGGTGTGGTAGTTCCCGTATCGCCCTCCATTCCTCTGCGCTGCTCTTCCCACTCCTTATCCTCTGCTGCATCATATGCATCTTTCGCGTCAACCCATCTCTCTTGGATGTCCTGGACTTCCATCATCGATCCTTCGTTGCGCATTGCAACCTGCCAGACGGAGTCATTTGCGCCCTCCGCGCCGCCGAAAACATAACCACTCGCTCTATCGATAACCCGCAAAAGATGCGTCATGCTCTTCTTATTTTCAACAGCAAGAACTTCGAAACGAACCAGAGCAAAGCTCTCAACTAGGTTGGCGACAGCTTCGTTTAGTCTACGGAACTTATCACTGCGCATTGCAGGCGATTCCTCTTCAAGGACCGTCATAAGGTACGAGAGGTCTTGTACTTCGGTATAATAATCGAGGTTGAAGGGCAGCGGGTCGTAGGACGAGACTTTATCGATCTTGGTAAGAACGTTTATATGAGGAAGATCCATCTGGAGCATGGCGCGAAGGGTTAGTAGTAGGTTGGATATGTAAAGGGAAGGTTGAGTAAGGCAGAAGCTATCGGAAAGATGGACGGCGACAAGCTACGGTTTGTTAGTTGCTTGGATCTAGGAAAACATGGTTACTGCAAGTGCGTACTCGGTAGCCCAACTTTTGGAGCTTGAAGAAAACATTCCGGAGTGAGTTATGATGCGTATATAGCTCAACTTGGCCGGGACAGTCAAAAAGAATATATGATTCTCCCAACTCCTTCAGTCCATTCTCAAGCCACTCCATGTTGTTCTCAAGCTCTTCAAACGCGTATAATATACCGCCATTTGGTCCAAGCTGGTCATCTTTCATGATATCTTCGAGGGTAATTAAGTCGCGAATATCTAAGGCACAGGGATAGCTCGTGTGGTCGTTGGCAGGATCTAAGTTCACAACAGAGCATTCACGTCCTATTGCGCTCATGAACTGGTGCACTGTGAGAGGTAGTTAGAGAACCCGAGTACTCAACAAGGAAATCATGAAATAGCTAGTTGGAGTAGCTTACTGCCATCGCAATAAGTGCTCTTTCCCGAGCCTGGACTCCCCAAGACGAGTTGTGCGAAGGGCATATTGTGCTTTTGTGCAAAAGCGTAGTATTACGGAGCCGAGGAGTGTAAGTTGTAGGAGAGTGAAGAAATGGGCGACGGGAATGCAGGCTGAAGATGGTAAAAGGGAAGCTACAATTGCCCCTCCATCCCACTTCGACGAGCTTCGGGGAAAATTAAAGTGGATAACGATAAAGTGGGACCAAGCTTGTCTTATCACTGGGGTAATTCGTACCCCTGTAAAGTCCTAACGTATTGATATTTACTTTGACGATTCTCGATTGGTATTTCATCACCTATTCAGTAGAGAGCTTCATTCTCTATATATTACCGCGTAAAAGTTCCCAAGGCATCATGGCACCACCAGGTACGTTACTTATCTCCTACTACACAAATTAGATTGATTCTCAACCCATCTGGTCGGCAAATAAACTAACAAACGCGAAAACAGCAACGCAGTTCGAGCTCGCGCAACCGCCCAACGACGCCATCTCGGCGCTCGCCTTTTCGCCAGACTCGCCGTCGCGCTTGCTAGCTTCTTCCTGGGACAAGAATATCTACCTATACGACACGCTCCAGAACGGCGATGACGGAAGCCACGGGACCCTGCTACGAACGTTTGAGAACCGCGCGCCGGTGTTGGACGTGTGTTTTGGGAGAGATGGTAACGAGGCTTTCAGTGCCGGCATGGATTGGCAGGTCCGGCGCATCGACCTCGACAGCGGCGAACAGACTACCTTAAGCAAGCATGCCGCGCCTGTGCGGAGGGTCGTATATAACAAAGAACACTGTAAGCTCCCCTGCTTGGAAAGGGAAATCATCAGAAGGTGTCGTTAGACTAACCCATTGCAGCTCTACTCTTATCCGCCTCCTGGGACAGTACCCTACACGTTCACGACCCATCGAACCCCTCCCTCTCCCCCTTAATTGTCCCTCTCCCTGGCAAGCCGCACGCCATGGCCGCTAGCCCGTCCAAGGTGATCGTAGCCATGACATCGCGACTAGTGCACATCTACGACCTATCCGCCCTCTCCAGCGCGCTGGCCTCGCAATCCGGAGAACCGCCGCAGCCATGGCAACAGCGCGAGTCGTCCCTAAAATTTCTGACGCGCGCCGTAGCTGCCATGCCCTCAGATGCCGGATACGCGACGTCGTCGATCGAGGGGCGCGTGGCGGTAGAATGGTTCGACGCGAGCGCCGAGTCGCAAGCCCGCAAGTACGCCTTCAAATGCCACCGCACAGCGCAGCCGCAAGCCGACGGCAGCAGCACCGATGTCGTTTACCCGGTCAACTCACTCGCCTTCCACCCCGTCCACGGCAGTACTTTTGCCAGCGGCGGGGGCGATGCCACCGTTGCCCTATGGGATGCCGAGGCCAAGCGCCGCATGAAAGTGTACCAGAAGTTCGCAGACAGCGTCGCAGCCCTCGCCTTCAGCTCCGACGGGCGGTATCTCGCCGTCGGCGTGTGTCCCGGTTTCGAGACGGGTATGGAAGACTACAGCGGCGAGGGTCGTACCAAGATTTTTGTAAGAGAGCTCGGCGAGAACGAAGCCTTACCTAAGGGTAAGGGCAAGTAGACAAGTAATAACAGGCCAACCGAAAAATTGGAAGAGTTGCAACGACGTATAGCTGTATCATCTATCTACCAAGAACTTTCTAGGGACCCGGAGCTGGCTGGCGTTAAGAGCGGAAGGGAACTTTGAATTCTATAAAATGCAATTTTCTATATTTTCAAGATCATACAAGTTCTTGGGTGATCACGATTATCTTCTGGGCTTGGCTGGCATCCGTTCCAAGAATAACATTGCCAGGCTACCTAGAGTACTTCACCGTGACATTGCTTCCGATCATTTTAAAAATATGCTCTAATATGCCACTAATTCCTCAATTTGACAATACAGTAACTGATGCGTCGTACATTAGGTACCTAGGTAGGCACGAATATAAAAGCTGATATAAAGCCAATCCACCTATCTGCCATAGGCATAGCCAGTTGTTTCAACATTTAGATCCCTTTGAATCGAGTAAAATCGAAGTGCTTACAGGGTATAACATGGCCAGATGTAGACGCCCATCTATTAACCCGGTCTGCTGTCCCCAAGTTCCGGAGATCCCGGCCCGGTCTCCTTCTCTATGCCGCCAAGAACAAAAATGGCCGAATCCATAGCGCTAGACTCTCGGCTCCGGGAGCTATTAGGTGTACCTGCATAGCTATCTTTTTCAAGCACTTCATCCTCGTCGATCTCACTCTCATTATACGTTAAAGGTATAGTCATTACTTCTTGATCTGCTTCGTATCCTTCTTCATGCTCGTATGCTTCGTCCCCCGGCTTTGACTGCTTGATATAATGCATCTCTGATCTCCGATACCCTACGTTAGCAATAAAATGCGGCCCGCTGCTTTCCTTCAAATATCGTCCAAAATTCTCGAAATCCGAATGTTTTCTTTTCCGTGGCGTCAAAGTTTTATACGAGAACATATCTTGGTTTTGACGAGTTAAGAAAGTAGGCTTGGTCAGCATGCTAGGAGAGATAGCTCCCTGGTTTTCTAGAGTGGTAGATTTCCGGTGTCGCGGTCCCAACTCCTCTACAAAGTTTTTCTTGGTAGGCCAGACGTCTTTTGCTATGCCACGCCGGTTTTTTATCTCACGTTGAGTCGGTGTTGAATGTTGGACCTTCGAGCCACTGAGTCTTGATCCACGCACGTCGTCTTTATTGGCAACCTCGCTTTCTAGTTGGAGTTTGCCCATACCCGGAAGTAAATCGGGTCTTCTTTGCTTGTGCGTACCGGTCATAAAGAACAAGAAGCTCGGTCTAGCTTCATCCCCTGAGAATCCATCGCCTGCTCGCCAGGGTGGTTCTGGTTGACCACGAGGCTTGAGGGAGCGAAATTTATCATTTCCTTTATCTGTCCTCAGTCGAAATGCACCCTTTCGCTCATATGTCACTTGCCCGCCGTTTTCATTGTATTCCACTTGCCCAGTCAGCGGCAGCTGCGGTATAGTCACTCCCTGGGACTTCTTAGTGCTCCCAGTCCTTTTGATTGTCGGCTTGGTGAATGGCGTATCATCGTCGTCTACCCTCTGCCTCTTTCGCGACTCAGCACCGTCAGGATAAGATGTTCCTCGCTTTCTAGATCGATGATTTGCACTATTTGTCCGCTTAGGGGTTTGAATTCCCTTATGATGCACTCTTAATACTTCATCGTTACGAGGACGGTATAAATCATCTCTATGACTTAGCGCGGTCGGGCTACTCCTCCTATTATCGTGCAGGTTAGACTTTCTCGAAAGACGTTATTTTACCTATTATGATTTGGGAAAAAATATAGGCTTTGAGTAAAAGGTGTTAAGACGTCGTACTGTACCTTGATAATCGACGCCCCAGGATATCTCCAGGGGCAGATACGACGGATCTTCTCCGTTTCACATTTGCGCGGATGGGAGAGGCTGGTATAACCCTTGTCCTGTCATTATCTAAACCTAGAACCTCATCCGGCCCAGGAGGGTGGTTGTCGTTAATATTTAGGGATCGAGTACGCTCTGGGAGGGCTGCGGTCTCTCCAACACTAATCAGGGATTGATAAACCATTGAACTAGTTAATATGGGATCCATGGACGACGGAATCGTAGGCAATTCGTCAAGCCGCATTGGCCCTTGTTCTGGAGCCATGATAACAACGGGGTTCAATCATATGGGTTTCGCAAGATCTTGTATGAAGTAGCCCGGTCCAGAAGACTTCGTATACACTAGCCGTATTATAATTATTTGGAGTAGAGGTGAGATGGAAAGCTCTTGTATGTGTTACAAAATAAACGTAGGAGTCGTCTAAGAATTTCCTATGCATTTTGTGGACGATGAGGCCTTGGAAGGAGGAACAGAGAAAATGTGATAACTTAATTACCTCCTATGAGGTTAGGAGGTACCTAATGAACTTTAACTTGCAAAGGTAGGAGCAGTATAGGTGCTACTTCCCCCTTAACGCCCTAGGGCCAAGTCTTACCAGGTACATGTAACTTCCAGATAGGAAAATTCGAACTATCTTATGTAATTCCTCATGCTTATACTTAATTGAATTAGTCTAGGTAGTTTATATCAACAAATTAGAGGGCTTGCTCGTTTTTTCCGTTGCCGTGCCTGGATGATATCAGTAAGGGCTTGACTACATCTCTTACAGTCTAGATGTTAACTTCTATAGCGTTACCATCTTATCCTTCGATTGAAAGGGGGTTAACTCTCCATCTTCTGCATAGAACTTCTTGATATATAAAATCCTTCAGACGGCTCAAAACATAGCTGCAGCTGCAAATAATATTTTGGAAATACTCGCAACTATTAATGTCATACTGATTTTACTTGAGGAGTTATTAGTAATAGGGCTTCCGATTCTGGATGGCGAGCGCTGCGTAAGTAACATCCCTATTCTACTCTTTCCTGTCCAAAGTGACTTTGACTTATATATATTCGTTCTACGTCATAAAAACATATTTGTATATGCCTTCTTGCATTCATCATACAGTAAGCCCGCCAAACTATCTATATAAAATGTAAGTTGAAATCTTACCATTCCTTCTAGAGAAGAGTGAAGACATACTCTCTGTATCCCCATAGCCCATCGCCCAAAGCCATGCTAAGTTTCGATACGGAACATTGCCTTTCAGCAAGAGGATACATCCCAACAATTCCCCACATGTTCCTATCAGTTTAAGAGCCAGGTAGCCATGATTCAATAATACTTGTAGGTGAGCCACTTCCAAACATCCGAGAACGCGCGAGTACTCTACTCTCCGGCTTTCTTCGGTGTGATGGGCTTCGGCTCGTTGACGTAGTCCGTTGTACCTCCCATGTTCAGCACCCACACTTTGCCTGGGTGATCAGGCAGCTGGGGGCCATACAAGAACGAACTGGGGAAACCGAGTTCGAAGGGAACAGCGCTTTCGATTTCCCTGATATCTTCGTCATCAAGAATCAATGTGAGAGCCTCGATGTTGGCTTTTAGATGCTCCTTAGTCCTTGTGCCGATGATCGGGAAGACGTACGGCGCTTTATGCATGACGTACGCTTGAGCCACACTAGTAATGATGGTGTTCCTGCGTATAGCTACCGATTCGAGGGCCCTGCTGACCCTGATTTCCGTCTCAGTGATATCACCAGCGCGCCCAATGCTCTTCCTCTGGCGCTGCTCTTCCGTTTTGAACTTGCCTCCGCCAAGCGCACCCCACGGAGCAAGGCTCATCCCCTCGGCCTTGGTCATGGCGATGATTTCTCGCTCAAAGTCACGCGAGGCGGCCGACCATCGACCTTGATAAACGCTGAATTGGCGTAATCCATGATTGCGAGCGTACTCATTGGCTTTGCTCACAACCCAGGCCGGTGTATCGCTAATTCCGAGATAGAGGACCTTCCCTGCTAGCACGAGACGGTTAAGCGACTGCATGAGTTCGGGAATTGATGTGCTGCCGTCCCACCAATGAACATAGAGCTGTATCTCGGTGTCAGTAGGCCTTACATAGCAATGATATAAGTAGATGTATAATACCAAGTCGATATAGTCCGTCTGTAGCTTTTTCAAACTCTCATTGACAGACACGTGTAAGCTCTTGGTCCCATTGCCTTGACTATTGATTATGATTTCTTCACAGTCCGTTTTGTAGCTAGTGCTATATTTGGTAGCGATCACTACAACCAACATCTATCAGTTTACCCGTTTGTACTTGGTATGCTTATATAGTAAATTAGTTAAAACACGGAATGAAGTGATTAACATACCCATCTGGTCACGGACACCACGCTTCTTCATCCACTCTCCAATCCACTTTTCAGACTGCTCGGCTTGGTAGTTGTTGGCAGTATCTATAAAATTGCCGCCCTGCTCGTAGAAGAAGTCGAGGATTTCTTCCGTGGTCTTTTGGTCGCAAGCACCCATCTGATCAGCCCAAGCCACACCGAAATTCATAGCCCCCAGACACAGGGGGCTAACTCGGACATTGGCCGTTGGGGATAGGATGCGGTAACGAGCCAGAGGGCTTTTTGGTGGCGGCGCCATTACCATTGCCGACATGTTGATAAAAGGTTTTATAGAAAAATGATATATGTGAATGCTTAGGGAAACAGAAATGAGGACGGTGACGACTTCCCGTTGGGAGATTATATTTAAGTAGGTAAACTTTAAGATGAAGCACCTGACCAGTCAAGTGAAGTAATACGTCTAAGTTGCACCTGCTCAAGATCTAATCAGATGATGTTATGGGGCTATGGGCCTTCAACATGTAAAAAGAGCAGGAACTTAGCAGCCCTTTTATGTAGGTACTTACTACCTTCATCATAACTCTTCCCCCATATGTTCGACATAGATAACTATACTACTCTAAGTTATCAACCAGCATGTCTATACGATTTCCGATTGCTAAGGCATTACGAATTCATAACCCACCCCTTTTATTTCCGCGTGGATTTATTCTCCATGCAAAGGTACCTTACATGTACCTCACGAATATAAAGACGAGGTAAGTATAGACGTCATGCTGCTACTGCCTACATGCAGGATACTTATCTGTCGCTGGATTTTGGTGTTTGATATGTCCGCAACGTCCGAGCAAGACGTGTCTTAAAGGAGACAATTTCTAAGTCTGGCTGGTAGTATGCATCGTTATTGGCTGGTTTTTGAATGCCGACTTTAGCGTGCCAAGACTTGTAATGCCCTATTCAGGTAACGGTCAACTTCTATGAGGTCCAGATGTCACCGTGAACACCAAAAATCCATATTTCCAGTTGCAATGAAGAAACAAATACTGGTTCCATCTCGTTTAATCCTACTAGCGGAGTTCTCTTATATTCCGGCGAAGAGTCAAACGGGTTCCTCGCGGACACCGAGGGTAAAGTATACTCGTGATAACTTCGCATATAAATAAATATCTAGGGTTACATCTCCTATTGTGGTCAACAGCAAAGCCTCTTGCATTAGAATAAGAAGCACTACTACGTATGTCTAGCTGCCTGAATATAAGTTCCGGATGCAAGGTCTACGTCAATTACTGCGCTTGCTTACGCCGAGAGGCTCGAGTGTCACAAATCGTGTGTATAGGTGAGACGATCTAAAGAACCCACAGGAAGAATACGCAGTCGTACAATAAGGCTGTCCTACCATCTAAGCTCAACAAGTACTTCAAAACCTACTTAGCTCATAGAGATATCGGAGACGAAGTAAAAAAAGGGGTTGAAGCTCGATAATAAGTGTAGTTCTGTGTCTTTAACTACGCTACATCTGACTACTTAGTGGGCAAGAAAACATGAGCATGCACACCATTCAGCTAATCCACTTAGTAGTTTACGCAGTGACCTTTGCTTTTCGTAAAAACTCTGACATATATACATATCCATGAAGCACACTTAGTGCAAGAGGCTAGCATGCCCAAGCACCCACGTGCCCGTCGCGACGCCCCTCGACTAGGTAGCCATCCTTGATGCGAACGTGCTCCACAATAGCCGGTGCCCTTCTTCCGTCCGCTTCCGTGATACCCGCGCCGCAGTCCCACTGCCGCGACTCCATCTTATCGTAGACCTTGACAACGTCTTCGCCCGCCGCACTTACGATGCGTCGGTTGTCGAACATCATACTTGTGACTGGGTTGTCGTACGCGTAGGCATCAAATATGGAGCCTGTACGTAGGTCCCATATCTATAAAGCGGCATGTTAGTATGATAAAGATTAAAAGGGCTGTTCTTTGAAGAGAAAAGACTTACCCGTATGCTTCGGTCCAGACTACCCGTCACAAGATGTACATCGTCAAACTGCAAGCATGTCACCGGTCCAGTGTGTCCAACGAGGCTGCGGTGAACCTGTCCACTTCTCAAATCCCATAGTCTAACCATGCCATCGGCGGTACCACAGGCTAGAGCGGACTCGAAGACTTGCAACGCACCCACAAAATCAGCTGACGCTGTTGGTGGCCGCCCGGTTTGTCTCCAGGTCCCCTCGCCCGTGCCGATAGAAACGGAAGCCTGAGCTGCTGCCCACATCACATCAAGGGTTTGTACGCATCGTCCTTTCACCAGATCCCATTGGCGGAGTGTCTTATCCGACGATCCAGAAACGAGGGTATTGCCCCGGAAGTGAAGAGTAGTAATCTCATCTACATGGGATTCCAGAGTAAAGAGTGGACAATCTGCCATACTGCCCTCGGGCGGGTCTACTGGTTGGTCATCGGGATTCTCAAAAGCCATGCCGTCGTCATCTTCGTCGTCCCTACCAAATTGACTGCCTTGCGGATCGTAATGTGACTTACTCAAGTCCCATAATCGGATAGTGGCATCCATAGAACCCGTAGCAAGGATATTGTCTTCTACTTGCAGTGCCCGTACCGGTGCGGTATGGCCTTCAAGAAATCCAATACAGCGTCCAGCATTCAAATCCCATACCCTAACCGAGTCATCCATAGAGGCTGTAACGAGGGTGCCAAAAGGTACATCGAAGTCTAACGTCGTGATATCATCGGCGTGAGCCTTAATTTCCCGGATCATAAAACCTGGTTCGAAGTGCTCGTGCAATATAGGCATTGACTTTCGCTTCATGGTCTTGTGTTTCTTTTTGGATGGGGTAGAAGGAAGCTTCTCGTATATAGATTTTGACATAAATTCATCTGTATCTTGATCCGTTACTAAGTCGTCATCGTCTGATTTGTTTGGTGTGTCGACAGCAGCAGCTATCGACTCGGCTTCGTCAAAGAGGGTCTGAGCGTCTTCTATCCGACCCTCCATATCCACAACTATGTTCTGCGTCAGCACGGGCTTAGAAGCACGTTGGTGGGGGATCACCTACTATCATGTTCCAAAAGTGCTTCTTCTTGCTCTAAACCTGCTAACCTCTCAAGAATGATGCGCCTCATTCCAGCTAGATTAGCGATCTTGTTATCAATCTCGCGGATCTCACAGCTTGCCATATTCTTCCGAATACTAAGCATCTCAAGCTCATGCATAAGCGATGACCTGTCTTTCTTTAGCTTGTGGAGGTGGTTTGGGTTATCTGGAGTTGTCGGGCTCTCTTCGAGCATTTTTCTCCCTCTCGAGACTTTTCTCCTGTGCTTTTTGCCCTCGTGTGTCAACTCAGGAAAAGTCGCTTGGAAGCCTTGAAATAAGGAATAGGCATTTTCATTTTCGGGTAAATTTTTAAGCATGTCGTCGGGCAGGTGTGCTAAGGCGCGGGATTGGATTTCAGCGGTAGAGAACTTGGAGCGAACCAAGTCAGTCGGCGTCGTCCGAGCCATGGTGAACATGCCTCGTTGGATGCCGGGCTTCCTCAGCTGCTTATGAACTTGAGCCATGGCGTTGTGGTAATGGTTCCCAGCCTGATCGGACCCGGGACCTACTAAATGGCTCGCCGTTGTCGTCACCTTTCTTGTGAAGGCCTCGAGTCCTCGCGACTATGTGCGAAGTTAGTCCTCACGTGCGCATTACAAAGATAAGCGGTCAGTAGGGTACCGAGAGTATCGAATCTTCACCCGGCGGGGTGTCATCACGAATGGCATTGTTCGGGTCTGAATCGGCCATGCGCGGAGTCTATGGAATTTGTACTGAAGCCGGAGAAGTCGTGTGCGGTCGCACGGTGCAAATGCCACACATTTAAGGTAGCATACAGGAGGGTTTTTTTTTTCCGACAAGTATTAAATGGATCTCTCACAGAGCTACTTGGTAGTCCGACATGAGGAGTAGGGCAGTTATCTAATAAGATAGGTTGGTAGGTACGGAAAATATTCGATGGCCCAAATTAAAAGCAAGGCATTGACAAGGCTAACGAAGACGGACGAATGTACCTTTTCCCGCAGTGGACGTTCTAAAAATTTTAGCTTGAGCCCTCGGCATGAGCTGTGCTTGCGCGACCCACATCGCCGGATAAGATTTGTTGCAGACGCCGCATCTACGGAAAGAGCAGATGGATGTCTTTCGCCTTGCACCTCATTTGTCTGGTAGATGGTAGACCTAACCCAGCTTACGTACAACATAGGGCACCTAGTGCGTAGGAGGTAGACTTGTATCTCTGGAATCTCTAGCGTTATCAAACCCGCGCCGTACCGGGCTAAACCATACAAGGGCAGAGGGAGGGGTTACACTAAGAAGGAATAAGGTTTGCGCGCCGCAACCATCACTCTACTCTTTCTTAGCTTACAATGCCGGGTGCGACACTGCATACCCAGCTACCCTGTAAATTATAGGGCAGTAGGTAGGGACGCCACCTACCTCATAAGTAAGCTGACTTGCATTCAGGAGCTTACAAAAAAAAAAAGGTACCAATTTGATACTGGCCGACTATCGGCCGTAACTGCGTATGTAGCAAACGAGACCATTGAGAGAAAGAAACTGCAGCCTCGTGAAATGATACATATCTCCTACTCCTTACATCTTGAATTGACTGTGAAACGTTGCCCACCACTTGCGCCTCACCCCGCTCGTAAGTGAGGAGGGTCTTTGTCCTCCAATACAAAAATCTGCTCGCCTATATCTTCTGAGTGTGCAACGATTTCTCCGTCTACTTTTGACTGTTATACACAAGCCAGTACTACCCGTTGAACCAGAATAGTGACGATGGATACCATCATTGACATCAAGGATGCCTCTAAGGCGCTTGATCTATCCAACATTCGCTTTCAGTTGATGTGCGCGCAACTCTTCCTTCCCTCCACCCTCCACCCTCCACCCTCCACCCTCATAGTGGGATAAGCGCATTGCTAACAACTCATTAGTCGACTAGAGGATACGATCACTTTCCACCTGATCGAACGAGTCCAGTTCCCGCTCAACAAGACCATCTACATCCCCGGAGCAATAGAGATTGGTCAGGATAGTAAGCTCAGCTTCATGGATTGGTACTTGAAAGAGCAAGAGAAACTACAGTCCCTGATCCGACGCTACGAGGCACCCGACGAGTACCCTTTCTTCCCCGATGCGCTACAGAAGCCCATATTGAAACCTCTCAACTACCCTAAGATTCTGCACCCGAATACGGTTAACGTCAACGAGAAGATCAAGAAGTTCTACACTGAACAGTTCTTGCCGGCCGTGTGCCCGGATTTCGGGCGCCCAGATCGCGGCGAGTCGGAAGAAAACTACGGTTCCTCTGCTACGTGCGACATCGCCTGTCTCCAGGCCCTCTCGCGAAGAATACACTTCGGTATGTTCGTAGCGGAATCGAAGTTCCAATCCGACCCTGAGACATACACTCGATTGATCAAGGCCGGTGACCGTGACGGAATCGGCGAGTCTATCACAAATGCAGCGGTCGAGAAGCAAGTTCTGGCGCGATTGGGACTAAAGGCGCGCACCTACGGCACGGATCCATCTACGAATGGTTCGGAGGATGATCGCAAGATTAATGTTGAAGCAGTGGTTTCCATGTACAGGGACTTTGTCATCCCGTTAACGAAAGAGGTCGAGGTGGAATATCTAATGCAGCGACTGAACTAGGCGAATCACGGAGCTAGACATAGAAGGCTAGATAAAAAGTCGTGGGTGGGTTATGTCTTATTGCGTTGATTTTCTTTTTACTTCAAGACGGAGGACTTAGATACTCCCCTATAGCCTTCGCGGCATCTGCGAATTTACTAGCTTCGATTAATATCATGAAGCCACGCGGCATGACACCCATCTCCTGGAAGGCTCGCTTGCTATCTGCGATAGCCTCACCGATCTTAGTATAATCGTAGCTACCACTAGCTACCGCGTGCTTTTGCAATACCTCGTCCTCCGGGTGGAAGTAAAACATTGTCGCATCTTGCTTTCCTTTCTTTCGTTTCCTCTCCTCGACGTCGAGTGTCGACTCGATCTCATGGTATGTCTTGGAAATAATGAGATAGTGCGAGAATTCGTAGGGCTCTTTGTCCTCCACTGCCGCCTCGACCTCGTCAATGAGCATGTTGTACATGGGCGGCGAAATCTCGGAGGGCATATTGATCAAGCGCTCCGAGAGCACAAGCCCTACATGATTTCCAGAGGATATTAAATCTGGGATTCCCGCTAGAGCTTCATTCGTCTTAGCTTTTTCGCAGATATACCTGGTAAGATCGGCGATCTGCTTCTTTTCGCGGTGTTCGTGCAGATTGAGCGCAGTGAGGAAAGCATACGCATCCGTCTCCTTACCGTCGACCTTGACTGTCGACCCAATTGTTGGTTGCGACAGGATTAGATCGGCAAGCCCCGAGATGTCGAAGAGAGTCGCGTCTACGTCGAAGAGTTGTCGCAACAGGGATTTCGTGCCGTGAAAGTCAATTTCAGGGTCGAAGTTGAACCATTCGAAGTCAACATTGACCATATCGAAATCCTAAAATTGAACTTGTCAGTCAACTTCTAAAACACCACAAGCCGCACTAATAAAGTGCTAGGAGTCTTCTACTCACGTCATCGTCAGAGCTGTCGCTATCTTCGACCATCTTGTCGGGCGCCTCAGCGGCACCGTCAGCTTCTCTCGCTCGTTTCTTTGCCATTTTTATCTTGCTGAATCGCGTAAATGAATACTACGATAGATCTGAAGAATCGGCCTAGCCCAATGCGCCCCGAGTTTCGCAATTTGATAATGAGAAATGAGAACCGGCTTCAGGCGGTGTACAAAATTATTCTGCCACCGTCCTGCCCCTCACTAGTCTTCTTTTGGTCTGATAAGATAAAAGATAAAGCTTATTTTCGATAAGGATCCTTGTCAGGTACTAGCCCACCAAGCAGTAAGAACCTTCGAACTTAAACTCCTAGGTCATAAAGAACTGAAGCTCTCATGTTTACCTTTATCACATTAGACACCTAAATATCTCTAGCCTATCGGAATTACCCATAGAAAACTCGTACATGTCTAAATTACTACCTACTGTCATCTTCTGATGATGTTATATATACGATGCATATGCATAGAGGAGTGTTTTCACTCAACCATAACGTCCGAAGCTTCTTTAAACGTTGAGCTTATTGCAGAAGTTTGTCATCTACCTGATATGTCACTGTATAGGTAGTTATTCCGATAATCAATTGGGGCCTGTAGTTCTAGTAAGGTTACTTACATGCATGTAGGTTGTCAATCAAGCGATATGCGTGCTCTAGTCATTGAATGAATGAGTTTGAATTCAGGCGCAGAGTAGAAGCAAAGTATCACCTTAATTTACCTAACGCAACTGCATGTGACAACTTTAATATATGGGTATTGAAGGCATACATACTGCGAGTCTTTAAGATACACTATCATTGTTTATTTTTATGTATTCTATAAAGTCAATATTACACAACTTGGTTTCGCGCCGCCACTAGGAACAGAGTCGAGATGGAGTTACATTATTGCCAATGTAAACTGGGATAAATCATAATAAGCTGCTCTACAAAGTGAGAAAAGAGTAAGCTTGTTACTGATTCAAGATCACAACTGCCGCCCGCCTTGGCGTAAAAGATCAGATTTAAACATCTTCGTCCATCCTCTAGAGAAGATAGTTTATAATATGTAAAAGTCACTAAGCGCTTCTCTTGATTTCCCTTTTCCCTTAGGTAGTCCAAGGTTTGTCAAAAATGTGTGTATGTGTATTTAGCCAATTCTATTAGTAAATGCCATACGTCTACGTCGCTCTATCTCGAGTCTCGACGGATCGATTAGCTCGATCGAAATGCAGACATGGCGTATTCGATCTCGCAGTTTTGCGTGATCACCATGAAAGCAGCATACGCTATGTATGTGTCGATGTCCCGATTGGTGCTCTCGAAACGTTCGTGCGTGGTTTGCTAGCGACTACTGCAGGGAACCGGCCAACCAGCTGTGGTATTTTGAACCACTTAGCCCTCTATTGGGTTGGGTGAAATATCGATATATCCAGCGGATCGATGCCCCTCGATAACGTGCAACCCGTCTCTTCACCTTTCTCCTGCCTATTATAGACTTCCTGTGACTGTCTCATTGGCTAGAAAATTTCCCGAAGCCTACTCGTCCATGTGGTATGCATGTCTATATAAAAACCCGGGGTAAAGGGCATGGTAGAAAGCCTTCTCAGCTCTAACGGTAGACATCGGTCCGCTCAGCCTGGCGCGATATAATAGGCCCATTCTGAAAAATTATGTCGTATGAGTAGTAGTCTTCTTACTAGAGTAGAAATGCAGGATGCGATTGCAATCGGGCCAGGCGTTGAAGCCATCAAGGCCATTGTGAACGGATGAAAGACTAATATATTACTAGTGGGTATAATTTCGTAGGACGCGTGTCCCCCAGTATGTGACCTTTCCAAGCCAATACAAGACCTGTACTCCGACCCAGGACCCGGTCCCCCTAAAACTCCATGACGCACAACTCCTTTGGCCCGGATGGGTCGACCCGATGGATGGGAAAAAACTAACAAGATTATCGAGAAGCGCAATTTGGTGAGGCGAATGAAACCCTGGCCGCGGTTCCAACGTAAATCCAATCAAGCCTATGCAGCCAATATGCTGTGCAGACTAACGAAGATGGTATATTTTCGAGCGTGCAAAATCGTAATCGCGCCTTGACATCTAATTCATTAAGTTAATGTCGTCGAGGGGAGGTATAAATAGTCCCCCGGTAAGGCCGTACGGTTACTAAAAGCCTGTCGAGTTTCTGGCGCAACATCATGAATATGACCGAATGGAGTGGACAATCCTGACTTGGGAGTGTCCACAGGTGTCAGTTGCATACCCAAGCCAACTACAGCATGTCCCGAACTCATTGACTTCCCATGCTTGGCCAATTTGCTCTCGTCCTCCATTCCAATATCCTCGTTGATCAGCTCTCGCCGAGCCATTTCGATATCGTGTCTCGCTTGCTTGATAGACTTAGCTTCCCACAGAGGAAGAATACGGTAGCCCAAGTTTTCCATAATACATCGTTCGGTGAAATTGATCTGCTCACACGTCCAGAGATTCTGGCCCCATGCGGAGCCATAGTATTGGGTAGATTCCTGTAAATCCTCCACAAATTTGTCCGCAATCACCAATGCAGCCAAAATTATAACCTCGGGGAGAACATTATCGATATGGACAGCCTGAACGGCACCGGACGGTAGGGTGTGGCGTTTGGGTCCGAGTTCGTTTGGTCTGTTTAAGGGGAAGGATATCCGCCAACTTCGAGAGAATCGAGAATTTAACGAG